GGGAGGCTGAGGCAGGAGGATCGCTTGAGCCCAGGAATTTGAGGTTACTGTGAGCTAGGCTAATGCTGTGGCACTCTAGCTGGGGCAACACAGTGAGACTCTGTCTCAAAAAAAAATAAAAAATAAAAAAATAAAGAGTAAGACTATAGGGAGGTAGATAGGAAGCTGTTGAAAAATAAGACAGCTTGCTATAAAGTTATGAGGGCCTGGGTTAGAATGGTGGCAATGGCAATAGGAATGGAGCGAAGTAAAGAGGTTTTAGAAGAAGAATTTATTTATCAAAGCTAATTGAAATAGATACTTGTAAAGTCTTTAGCATCATCTAAAATGAGAAGTTAATCATAGATATTTGGGGAATGGTTTTTCAAGCTGCATTAAAAAGTCAAGCCATCAGCTGGGCGCAGTGGTATGTACCTGTAGTCCTGGCTACTGAGGAGGCTGAGGTGGGAGAATCACTGGAGCCCAGGAGTTCGAGGCTGCAGTGCACCATGACTGTGCCTATGAATAGCTCCTGCATTCTAGCCTGGGCAACATAGCGAGATCCTATCTCAGAAAATAAACAAAGTCAAGTCATCAATTAGTGTTGGTAGTACAGGTTCATAGTATCTTGACCGAAATTTCAAAAAGCCATGAAAACATGACCTGAACTATTTTAGTCTTCATTTGTCCTGCTTAATGTGCATATTTATGCATTTATACATTTCTTCAGGAATACTGAAGTGGATAAGGGGTTGTGGATCTATAGTAGTAGGAGTAGTACGTAGGAAGTTTAGATATTTAACTGTTTTTCTTTTTCTTTCTTTCTTTTTTTTTTTTTGAGACAGAATCTCTCTTTGTTGCTGGCCTAGAGTGCCGTGGCATCAGCCTAGCTCACAGCAACCTCAAACACCTGGGCTTAAGCAATCCTTCTGCCTCAGCCTCCCAGGTAGCTGGGACTACAGGCATGTGCCACCATGCCCAGTTAATTTTTTCTATATATTTTTAGTTGTCCAGCTAATTTCTTTCTATTTTTTTTAGAGACAGGTGTCTCGCTCTTGCTGAGGCTGGTCTTGAACTCCAGACCTCGAGTGATCCTCCTGCCTCAGCTTCCTGGAGTGCTAGGATTACAGGTGTGATCCAATGCGCCCCGCCAACATTTTAACTGTTCTTCAAACCACAGAACTCATTCCTTTAAGATATGATTTGTTAAGGTAGTTTACTTCACCATATCCTCCTCGGGAATTTAGTAAAGGGTCTTCAAAAACTCAAAATATATGAATTTTCTCAACTTTTTGAAGAAAATGTTTTGTATTTGTTAAGAAACTCTCTAGAAGAAATAACCCAAGGAACATGAAACTCTAAACTACTTAATATCACTCTGTTCTCTTTCTCTTCTCATCTCTTCTCATTCTTCTTCTTGTTACTATATTATTTTCTGTATCTTTTTTCTTTTGCCCATTTTATAGAAATTTTCTCATATTGATAAAATTGTATTTGTCATTTTTAATAGCTAACTAATCTTTCAGCCTGTTAATATGTCATACTTAGACATTTTATTTGGGCCTTCTTTATCTATATATCTATATAAAATAGATATATTTAAAATGGAATTTAATACTGTTATACTGGCCTGCCAACACTTTGATGTTTCTTCAGTTGCCACCCACCCTTTATAGTATCTCAGTTTTATGGAAAAAATTAGTAATTATCCTTTGTATCCTCTTGTAAGGGAGGGGGAATTGTTACTGGGGATCCACTTGTGCAGCTTTACTGCAGAGAAAAGATAAAGTGACTGAATCGAAATTAAGAATACTTTAGGAACAGATTAATGATAGAGGACATGCCAGAAACCTAGCTCTTAGTTTTATTTATATAATTTCTCCAGTGAAATCTAGTTGGCTATATTTTCTGTGGGTGTGGGTGTGTGAGAGGGGGTATATTTCTGATCACTTTACACTCTCTTTAATTTACTCTAATTTTTTCATTATAGCATAGCATGTGTGGATATCATTTTCTTTCCAGATTGGGAACAGTATACGAGAATGATAACTCCTGAATTCCCTTGATTGGGTCTTATTCAAATTCTGTATATCCTTTGTCCCTGCAGAAATTGATTGGCTAAATGCTTTCTGTGTTCAGATCACAATATTTTCAGTATATATTGGCCTTTTATGTTGATATTTATCTTGTAAGTTACTTTTTCTTTATCCTAACAGATGGCTTTGTAGAGTTACAGGCAAGGTTCCTGCCCATAATTCCGTTCCTTCCCCCTCTTCTCTGCATCTATTTTGCTCTGTTTCCTTTTCTCTCTTCTTTTCTCCTTTCTTTTCCCTCTTCCCCTCCCTCCCTTCCTTCCTTCTTTCCATTTCTCCTCTCCTTCCCTCCTTCCTTTGTATTTTAATTTTAGCTTAGTTCATTAATTCTATTTTTAGGTCGGATGATGAGCAGAGCTCTGCGGATAAAGAGAGACTTGCCAGGTAGGAGAATGGTGTCTTTTAGCATGATGAAGCAGATTGTGCTGCTTTTTCTATCCTTTTTCTAACTCTTTCTTTTCTTCTCCTTCTCTTTGTATTTTTCCTTAGCTGTGGCAAGAGAGGACACGATGTTTTAGAAATTTGGGTGTAACAGGAACTTTGGCTTCCCCCATCAGAAAGTGGGTTGAGTTGAGGGAACTTTACTTAGGAATTTAAGAAATTGGTGTTAGTTTTAAGTTTTGTCTTTTTCTCTTTGTCAGCACTAAGTTTCACAGAACAGAAAGCTTTTAGAAATAATGCAGCGGTGCCAGTTGGTGCTTTAGCAGGGAAAGATTCTTTTTATCAGAAAACGAATAAATCATACGTATACACAATTAGTTCCCAGTATTTAGGCCTTAGCATTTACTCTACGCCTCTCTAGAAAACTTTTATTTTCCTATGTAGACTCAGTAGCCTAGATTAGTATCACAAAGAATTAGTGTTGCTTTGGTGACTGAATCCTTTCTTGTGGTGGTTTCTCAGAAAAGTTTTAGCTGCCTTGATGTGGCCAGATCAGGTTTCTGTACTCTAGTGTCAGAAATCTGTCGCATACTAGGAAGAGGGGTGCTTTAAGTTTGAAAGTAGAATTTTTTGTGTCTCAGGAAAGGTAACTAAATATGGACCTGTGTGATGAGAACCTTTTGCCACTTGGAAAAGTAACTCTACAGTTCTTTTTGGAGACTTGTTCATAATATGGAAATACTGCAGAAGAAATGTGCCCAAACTTTTTTGTCCTGTGGTCTCTGTGGTTTGTGATTAACTTTTGAGACTTAGGAAATAGATCAATGATATGATAACTAACATCTGTTTTTATCATTTCCCCCCTTTTATCTATCATTTATTTCTTTAAGCTGGGCCACAAATTCATTTTGCTGCCATTTCAACCTGTGCCTCCCACTAACCGTTTCACTCTTCAGAAAACTGATTTGGCACGATGTAGTAGAGAAAGCACTGTATTGGGAATAAGGGCAGCCCTGGGAAAAGTCACTTTACTACCTGACCTCAGTTTGGTCTTCTCTTAAAAAAGAGATTTGTGTTAGATTATTAGTTTTCATTTTTCTTTCCTTTTTTTTTTTTTTGACAAAGAACTTTTGTTCAAATAAAATCTTTAAAGGGTGATATAAATAAATAAATAATACAAAGCTGTTCAAGTAGAAGCAAAAATGCAGCATGTTGTTGTTTGGTACTTTCCTTGAGACATCCTCATGAGGACACTCAGGAACCTACAGGGCTTTTAAAAATTCCTCTTCGAAAACTACTAGATTATTCCTCTTAACAATGATATCATTCTCTCTTGGTTTTGAGGATGTCATTGATGGATATGTGGTCTACTTACCCTGGTAAGATCCAAATTATCTCTTTTCAGACCTTTAAGCATCCTCCACTCCACTTCACTCCAGCTCCGCAGTTCACTTTGTCTCAGACAAGGGACCTATATGAGATCTAGTAGATGGTATTTTAAGTCTCTTAAGTTCACTGTACTGGCACCACGCCCAGATAAAGAAGGTAGAACTTTATGCAATAATGGGACAAATAAAACTTCAAAATCTTGAAATTCTGCCTTCTAATGTTGTGAATAAGAGAGATGCTTACAACAAAGCAATGTTTTACAGACCAAGGGAACCTATACTATCAATTCTTTTTTTTTTTTTTTTTAGGACGGAGTTTCGCTCTGTCACCTGGGCTAGAGTACCATGGCATCAGCCTAGCTCACAGCAACCTCAAACTCCTGGGCTCAAGTGATTCTGCTGCCTCAGCCTCCCGAGTAGCTGGGACTACAGGCGCGCACCACCACACCCAGCTCATTTTTCTATTTTTAGTAGAGAAGGGGGTCTCGCTCATGTTCAGGCTGGTCTTGAACTCCTGACCTCAAGCAATCCTCCCACCTTGGCCTCCCAGAGTGCTAGGATTACAGGCACGAGCCACCGCGCCCAGCCCTATACTATCAATTCTTATGTCAGCTACTGAGCAGCATACTTGAGTTGGCAGAAGTTGGTCATTTTCTAGCCTTTAAATAGTTGAATTAGTAAACGTGGAGATTATTTGTCCCTTAGGAACTTAAGTGAATGAAATCAACATTTTAAAATACTATAATTTCCTAAAACATTTTTTGTTTTGAGAGAGTGGTAATTTACATAGAAAGTGAAGTTTCCAGGAGATAGAGAGAATTGCAGTATATGCTTGTTCCCTGTTTGCCTTGTTAGTTTTATTCCATGCTTGCTTTGCATGAGAAGGTTGGCAAACCTTACTTTAACTTCTGAGACTTAAGCATCACTAAATCTAAATACCACATTCTTCAGCAGCTCACTTGGTGTCCATATCACTCTCCTTGCTACCAAATGACCAGATGTGACCACCTGGATGGGGCTTCTCTCTCTCCATGCAGGGAAAATCATAGTGAAATTGAACGGCGGCGACGGAACAAGATGACAGCCTACATCACAGAACTGTCAGATATGGTACCCACCTGTAGTGCCCTGGCTCGAAAACCAGACAAGCTAACCATCTTACGCATGGCAGTTTCTCACATGAAGTCCTTGCGGGGAACTGGCAACACATCCACTGATGGCTCCTACAAGCCGTCTTTCCTCACTGATCAGGTCTCTGGGACTCACAACTCTGAGAGGGTCTAGAATCTGGGTGAATGTGTTGAAAGTTTTGATATTTTTTTTTTGGACAAGAATTCAGCTCTTCTGGAAAAATTCAAATCATGGGAAAATGAATTTCAATCCTTGGCTATAACATTAATCAGCACTGGGACAATGAGAAGTAGAGAAGAATTGTGAAAACTGTTTAGCAAGTTTATTGGTATTTTAGAACTTGGCTCATAAATACAGCCTGCAAGGTGGAAGAAGAACAGTGGAATCACAGAGAGAGGAAATGACAATGTCCATGGAACCAGTCCTCTTCCTTGGCTTTAGAGTTATAGAGGATGGAAGAAATGTATTTCTCATCTCTGAAGCAGCTTCCAATTTTAGTGATAGGAGTCTAACAGGCAGTCATTGTTGCTCAGGGATGTACTCTGTTACATTTGATGTACTATGAAAAAACTAGAGAAGACAGAAACATTTTCTGCCTTTCACGAATTCAGTCTGAATATAAATGTATGAGTGGCAGGATACACATAAGTGAAAAATGATAGGAAAATGCATACAGAAAGGAAATACTTCTTTTTCTTATTAATAATTTATGTGGGACTAGATAAATATATACTAGAGGGATGGCTAAAGTGAATACAATGGCTAGACTTTAGTGAGGGTAGTTAGAGAAAACTTTTCAGAGTAAGAAAACCATGTTCTATTTTGATTATTAAAAGTAACACAAGATCATTGCAGAAAAATTTGGAAAATACAGGAAGAATAAGGAATAAAAAAATGTACCATAACATCAATCAAGGATACACTTCATGCCACTATTTTAATCAAAGGATTAGAAAGAAGGAAGGAAAATGTTTTGGGAGAATGGAATAAGAATTTTCCAAATAGAATGGTCTATTTAAAAACATATATACCACAGATTTTTTATACTTGTATACATTGAAATAGTTAATTTGCTGTAACAGTACATGTGCAGATATTCATTCAGCAAACTCCAGTTATTCACCTTTTGTGGGTAAACCAAGTGCTTTTTGCTGTGAGAAATATGAAAAATGGTAAGAGACAGTCACTGGTGGAAAAAGACATGTAAATAAGTCATAAACACAGAACCAGTTCTATAATAGAGGTGCAATAATAAGTCCTATAGAAGTGCAGATACGGAAAAAGAGTTGGGGAATAGTGCTGTAGATTTTGGGAATAACTTAGAAGTGTGAGAGTAATTGGGTTACTCAGGAAAGTCAAGTGGTTTAGCAGGGTTTGGGAGATGATAATAGGAATGTGGGCTGGTATCTGATGATGGGATGTTAAGATGTTATATTAAAGAATTTATATTTTAATTTTTATATAGTGGGGAGCCATCAAAAATATACTAGTAGATCTGATAGCATTTTAAGGATAGATTGAAGAGAGGGAAAGCAGGGAAACCACTTCATTAGAGTAAGATACTAGGACAGTGACATACCTTTGGAAAGTAGAATTGGTAAAACTGAGTTATCAGTGGAATGTGAGGGAGAGTAGTTAGATTTTGAGGCTTCTAGTTGGGAGGATGCCGTAAATCAAGAAAGGGAACGCTGGAAGAATACAGGAGATTGTTTTTTGGAGAGGGAAATAATGATTGAGATTTTGAGATGTTGGTGTTGAGTTGCTGGTAGAATATCTATTTGGAAATGTTTAACAGATATTTGGAATTCAGTTCTGCTGAAAGCTCAAGAAAAAAATTAGACAAGTCTAGGGCTATAGACTTGGGTATTATTATTTCATAGTGGAGAGGAGTGGATGTGATTTCCCAGGAAGAGAATGTGGTATGAATAGAAAAGAGGACTTAAGATAGAACTTTGGAAATATCTACATTTAAGATTTGAACGAAGGAAAGGGAGCCTGAAGCAGAAGAGGAAGCAAAAATTGGACTGCAGTGTCATGGAAGCAGCTAGGGGAAAATAAAATTTAAAGGATAGAATGGACAACATTGTCAGGATTCTGCAGAGAGGTTGAATAAAATGATGAAGATCCAGGAAAAGGGACTTGAATTGGCAATTAGGGGGACATTAGTAACCTACAAAAAAACCAAAATCAGTACAGTAGTTTAGAGTGAAGATTGCATTGGGATTGAGAAATAATTGAAAGGTAAGAGAGTAGAGCCAGTAAGTGTAACATTATTCTTAGTGTCAGTTTGTCACTGAAAAAGAGAGACAAGTTGGGCTAAGTTGAGGGAAGATTTGTATAGAATTGAGAAAACTTGATCATTTTTATAGGCTTGAGGGGAAAGAAAGTGGGGAATATTTGTTGAGCAAGGTCCTAAAAAGAGATCAGAGAGGATGGAATCAAGAAGTCAGTTATTTTTAGTGGTGAGCCTGTTTATTCCTCCTCTTGACTCCTGTGATAAAAAGAAAGAGGTAGATAGTGACATAGAGAAATTGAGAAAATATCTGTTGGAAAAAACCTTGTCAATGAAGGTAATACATTTAGTGTGGAAACCTGTGGCTGTGGATCAGGTGTGAGCCAGCAATTGCTTATGGAGAGAGATGTATGGCCTTAAGTGTCTTACCACTTCCCATGAATAGAAATACTTGGTTTTTCAGAGTTCAGTATTAATTTTTATTTCTTTTCCTTGGGCAGGAACTGAAACATTTGATCTTGGAGGCAGCAGATGGCTTTCTGTTTATTGTCTCTTGTGAGACAGGCCGGGTTGTATATGTCTCTGACTCGGTAACTCCTGTCTTGAACCAGCCACAGTCTGAATGGTTTGGCAGCACACTCTATGATCAGGTGCACCCAGATGATGTTGATAAACTTCGTGAGCAGCTTTCCACTTCAGAAAATGCCCTGACAGGTGAGAGTTATGTGGATGGAAAATGAATGGAAAGTCCTTTTTTTCTGAGGCATAAGTGATGTTTTAGCTCTTAAATTGATTTGTTGACCCTGGCAGGACTTCTAAAATTTTCTCCTTTAATGACTATAACCAGTTCTTTTTATCCACATGCAGATTATCTAATTGTGGTTCATGTTTAGAAAATGTTTCATTAGTGATAATGTTCATATGAAAGTTTACTTTTATCTTAGTGTAAATAAAACGGTAAAAAGCCAAACCTACATTTTTTTTTTCCATTTTTAAATAACTATCTATGCTTCTATCTTATTTGTATGGATAATTACCTGGTATTTTTTCTACCCACTTGTGCTTGGCTTTGTGTGCTAGGTTCTGTGATAACAGATTTTTATTTTATAGGGGAGTAGTTATTGGTCGGCATATAAGGTGTTTTTGTTGGTTTTTTTTTTTTTGTATCTTTACTGTTTTTCTTTTTTTCACCCTATTTCAATGCTATTCAGTCCTTTTGACATAGTTTGGCTAGAGGAAACAAGTCAGAGCTGTTCCTGAGCAATTCTAGGAAAAAATTTAAAGTGGAAGCAGGTAAAAACTGGTAGTTAAAATAAAATGCAAGAAATTTCAATATGATAATGTTGGTCTTTAGTTTTCTCTTCTTTTATGTTTTTATGCATTTCATTTTTCTAGTTTTCATTTTTACCAGAAGTTGCCCTTGGTTTGTGTATAATAAAGGGGAGAAACAATTTTGGCTTGAAACAGATATTTGTTTCCATGGCATATAAAATTACTTGTTTTGGCCGGGCGTGGTGGCTCATGCCTGTAATCCTAGCTCTATGGGAGGCCGAGGCAGGAGGATCTCTTAAGGGCAGGAGTTCGAGACCAGCCTGAGCAAGAGTGAGACCCCATCTCTACTAAAGATAGAAATAATTAGCTGGGAACTACTAAAAATAGAAAAAATTAGCCAGGCATGGTGGCGCTCACCTGTAGTCCCAGCTACTCGGGAGGCTAAGGCAGGAGGATCGCTTGACCCCAGGAGTTTGAGGTTGCTGTGAGCTAGGCTGACCCCATGGCACTCTAGCCCCGGCAACAGAGCAAGACTATGTATGTATGTATAAATAAATAGATAAATAAATAAAAATAAAATTACTTGTTTTTAAATAATGACATACACTCTGCGTCTATGTGTGTGTATAAAAATAATCAGGCACGAGAATATAGCCTTGTCTTTTGCTTTCTACCACTACTTCCACTGCTACATTCCCTTGCACGAGGTTATTTTCAGTGCTGCCTTTGAACTTAAGAGTGACATTCATGATGAGAAAAGAAGTATTTTAGGCTTGGAAAAGAACCCATCTCCTGCTTGGCCTATTCTGTTTAAGCAAGGAGATTGAGGGCACGAATAGGATGCTTGCTTGTTTTTGCATTCCAGTATCTCCCCGCCCTCCCCCACCCCCACAAAAACGCACTCCAGACTGCTCTTCACATCCTCCTTCAGGGCGTATCCTGGATCTAAAGACTGGAACGGTGAAAAAGGAAGGTCAGCAGTCTTCCATGAGGATGTGTATGGGCTCAAGGAGATCATTTATTTGCCGGATGAGGTGAGTGTCAGGCTGAGCATTGCAGTTTGGCATAGGAAGAATCAAGACCTGAGGGTTTTAGTTCTGTCAAAGGAGTTAAAATTTTAAATCCAAGCTCTAATGGGATTAAATTTAACTCTCAAGATCCAGATGGGTTTTAAGACAGAATAAAGTATTTGGTAAAGGAACTGACATTTTACTGAACTCCTCTCATGCCAGATACTGTGATAGGTGCTTTATGTCTGTCATTGTATTTAATCCCCATAATTGCCCCATAGGGAAAGATTCATAGTTATCATATTGCTGATGAAAAAGCAAATTTAAAGAAATGAACTTCCCCAGACTGTTAATACATAGAGTGTTTGATATAGGATTTGTTTTAATTCATAGTAGTCTGACCTGTATTTATTTCCCATTACAAGAAAACATCCATTTACTTAGACCATTTCTGCATAGTTTTTTTTTTTTTTTTGGTTAGAAATTTGAGATTTCCTCATGTCTTTTAGTTAGTGTTTAGTGTTTGTAAATTATGTACTATACATTTTAGAATTCTGTAGAAAGGATGGTAGTCCTTTCTATCCAGGTAGAAAAAACACCCCTTAAAGTCACAAAGTAAGTTCAGGTTGTATAATGGAAACTGACTACATTTTACTGAGAGGATGCATGTTAGAAATGATGGGTAGAATATTAAGGAAGATTTTATGGGAGAGGCACAAAACTGAATATTATGTGGCTTAGTGATTTAGAGCCTCTGGACTGAGGCTGCTGGATTTTATTTTAATCCATAGTATCCTATGGATTTGAATTCTAGCTTTGGCACTATCTTCTGAAATCTTGGACAGATTACACGACTACTTTGTGGTTTGATTTCATCTAATATTGGAGGTAATATTAGTATCAAGCTCATAAAGTTGTGAGAATTAGATGAATTTTAATGTGTAAAGATGTTTAGAACAGAGCATAGCACATATTAAACTATGTTTTATTATTATTTTAAGGAAATGATAGAGGGAAAGTAGGATTGGAGGGAGTATCCCAATATGTGGTATGTGGCTAATTTGAAGACATAGGCAGGAGAAAGATAAATAACAATGAAATGTAGCAATTAGATTAAGTTGTGGTTAATGTAGAGCAGGAGTGAGCAAGCCATAGCCCTGTATTTGTAAATAAAGTTTTATTGGAACATAGCCATGCCCATTTGTTTGTGTATGATCTGTGGCTGCTCTCGTGCTATAATGCCAGAGTTGACTAGTTGCAACAGACTGTATATGGCCCACAAAGCTGAAAATGTGTATTATCTGATACTTTACAGAAAAAGTTTGCCAGCTCCTGATGTAGAGAATCTTTGCATTTGAAGAGCATATAGAACATTTTGACTTCAAATTCTAAGACAGTTTTAGAAATACCAAACCTGACTTACATTTATCCTTCCTTTTTATGAGTATTACCAGTTTTTTATGTCTAGTTGTATCCAGAGCCTGTTATCCTGCTGTTACTATGGAAAGTTCTTTGATAGTGCAGACTGCTTTTAATCTCTTTTGTTCGTTGAAATAGGTGTGGCAACAGCTCTGTGGACCCAGTCTCTGTGAATAGACTGAGCTTTGTGAGAAATAGATGCAGGTGAGGTCCTAAGCAGTAAAAACCAAAGGAATGGCCAAGTTTCTGTAGAAATCATCACCTTTTCGCCTATCTCACTATAGTCCTTCCCTCAGCAGCCCTCACCCTTATCTCCTGGTTACTTTTTTTTCTGGCAATATTTTCCTGAACATCTAAAGCTTCTCTTGCTCATCCTGTTTAAGGAAGTTGCCCTACTACTTTACCTACTTTCCTTCTCCTGCAGTATCTTTCATTGCTTTACTTTGGTAAGGGTCAAAAATATGGTGGTCACTTTTGGGTGGGAAGGGTCCAACCACTGATTATCTATCCTGTTTTCGAAACACCCAAGAGCCTACAGTTAAAGGTGCTAAGCGAGCATTGCTCTTTAAGTTTTACTAGGTAGAATTTTTCTCCTGACTCCTGTAACTCTTCTAGGAATGGACTTGGTTCTGTGAAGGATGGGGAACCTCACTTCGTGGTAGTCCACTGCACAGGTTACATCAAGGCTTGGCCACCAGCAGGTAGGAATGTGGGATAGTGATTTCTCCCTTGGTGCAGTTGGTTGCTCACACAGTCCATGAACATTAGCTAACATTTTAGTATGTACCTGGTATATGAAATGTACTTGGCTGAAAGAAAATAGGAAAGAAAAAACAGACTCCTTCCCTTCCATTATTAAGCTTATATTTCAGTTGAGGAGATGGATTACTCAGACTTGAAAATGAGTCAATATTGGCTGTGTACAGAATATTGTTTTTAAATGCAAATGTAAATTTTAAAATGTAAATTCATAATAATCTATATTGAATACCCATTTTCTAAGCAGTTGTTGGAAAGAAACATTGGCATTGAACACAGTTAATTTGGGAAAGCTTTCTAAAGTAGGAACAAGACTGAAGGAGAAAGAGAAAATGGCTTAATTCTAACAACTTATACAGGGGTTATTTTCTGCAAAGGTTTTAAATCAAGCTGTGAGCAGATTAGTTTTACTAGAATTTGAGATCAAACAAGGAATGTGAGAAAGGTGGTTGGGATGCAAGGATCATCTTTTTAAATTGGCTTGTCAGAGTTTCCAAATCCTAGCAACTTTATTACTTCCTTGCTGGATAAGTATTATTGAGAACTGGGGAGGGGTATCTGGGGAGAAAGAAACTAAGAGAAAAAGAGGCAAGGGTGGTATATTTTGGAAAGAGATTAAACTTTGGTTATGGAAAAACCTGGGTTTGATTCCTGACATTGTTATTTATTAGTAGTATAAGCCAGGGTAAATTGCTTGACCTTTATAAATCTCGGATTTCTCATCTATAATTTGGAGCTAGTACATCCATATAGGGTTATTTTGAAGATTAGATTTAATTTAAGGAAAACATCCAGCCCAGTGCCTGGCATAGTTCAGCTACCCAGTAAATAGAAGTTAATGTAATTTTTAAAAATTCATTGAAGTAGTAATGACATTTGAACTTTTTACTCTATATACTGTATAAACCGTACATTTAAGGTATGTGTGATCTTTCATACTTCTGTGTAGCTGTCAAAGAAATACTATTTTTCAGGATGAAAAGAAGATAACTATGCAAAGAATAGGGGGAAATAGTTTTCTTCCCTTTGCATGTAAAATACTGACATCTGTATTTTCCAGGGAACATAAATAACTCTTGGTGTTTGGTATAATTTCATTTTTGGTTGTTTGCTTACTTTAAAAGTCACAGGTGGGTAAAACATCTGTTCTCTGACTATGATACAGTCACAAAATGGCTGCCTTTATATGTGTTTGGTTTGGCCAGCATAGTTTGTTAGAATACTTTAGATGAGACTTGTACTTTCCAGTTTGTAATAATTAATATGAATAAAATAAATGAATTTATTTATATATATAAAAATACTTAAAACAATGACTCTATGTAATTGTTTATCTTTATTCTTATCATTATTTATCATTCTCTTTTGCCTTATACCTCACCTCTTCGTACCTAAATGTATTTTGAATCATTATCTGTCTGACTTTTGAAGGCATTTGAGTTTGAGAACCCTGTTAAACCTTTTAACTTGACCTTCCTGAAGGTGTTTCCCTCCCAGATGATGACCCGGAGGCTGGCCAGGGGAGCAAGTTTTGCCTAGTAGCCATTGGCAGATTGCAGGCAAGTGTGAATTTTCCCCACCTATCTATATCCTTTTTCAATTGGAAGAAATCTTCAGGATTCATTTATGTTAATTTTCCTTTCTGAATACAAGTGAAGAATTTCATAAAACTCTAAAAATGTGAAGGAATGTAGCGTTCATGGCAACCTTTTCATTTTATCATTACATGACGATAGAGAAATGGAATTATTTAGATTATTTTCATAAGTGTAGATAGGTTTCTTGGCTACTTGGACAATGATTTATCAATCTGAATAATGAGCACAGCCTACCCAGATGAAAGTAGGTGGTTTTGGGTTGAATTTTCTTTTTTTTTTTCGAGACAGGATTTTGGCTTGAGTGCTGTGGCATCGGCCTACCTCACAGCAACCCCAGACTCCTGGGGTCAAACAGCTCACTGATCCTCCTGCCTCAGTCTCCCTAGGAGCTGGGACTACAGGCTCATGTCACCACACCCAGCTAATATTTTTTCTATTTTTAGTAGAGACAGGGTCTTGCTCTTACTCAGGCTGGTCTCCAACTCCTGACCTCAAGCAGTTCTCCCACCTTTGCCTCCCACAGTGCTAGCATTATAGGTGTGAGCCACTGAATTCGTTTTTCTTCCTTTACTGACTTGGTAAAGTGTGTATGTGTGGGCTGGCCTCAGTGGCTCACACTCATAATCCTAGTGCTTTGGAAGGCCAAGGTAGGAGGATTGGAGGATTGCTTGAGACCAGAAGTTCAAGACTAGCCTGGGCAACATAACAAGATCTCATCTCTACAAAAAAATAATTTTAAAAAATTAGCCAGGCATGGTGGTGGGCACTTGTAGTTCTAGCTATTCGGGAGGCTGAGGCAGGAGGATCGCTTGAGCCCAGGAGTTCGAGGTTACAGTGAGCTATGATTGGGCCACTGCACTCCAGCTTGGGCTACAGAATAAGACCCTATCTCTAAAAAAATAAAAAATAAAAAGAGTACCTGTATGGGAATAAAGCTAGACCTTACGCCCTCTCTGATTGTCATTGTCATTATTTTCCTCTCTGGATGAAATGTGAAAGTTTAGAAATTCCTAAAACTGGGAGTCTCATGTCTATGCAAATGACCATAAAGAGATGGGAAATACGTTTGTAAAGAATGGTGTCATTTTACCTCATTTTTATCTCTTCATTCTCAGGTAACTAGTTCTCCTAACTGTACAGACCTGAGTAATGTTTGCCAACCAACAGAGTTTATCTCCCGACACAACATTGAGGGGATCTTCACTTTTGTGGATCATCGCTGTGTGGCTACTGTTGGCTACCAGCCACAGGTGAGGAGCTGGAACTATACATTAATGATACTGAGGCCTCTGTTTTTCTTTGTCTGTGTTGAAATTATGCAGTCAGGTAATTGTTAGATAGCCAAAACATAGCCCCAGTTCAGAAAAAGAGTGCAGTGTTGGTATAAGGATAGATAAATAGATCAGTAGGCCAGAACAGAACCTAGTCTTACATTTGTCAGCTGAGTTTTAGCAAAGGTTACAAGAGCAATTCAATGGGGAAAAGAAGTCTAACAAATGGTGATGGAACAATTGAATATCCATATCCAAAAAAAAGAAAGAAAGAAAAGAACAGAACTTAGACCTTACCTCACACCATAACAAAAATCAACTCAAAGGTCTAAATGTTTAAGAACTAAAGTTATAAATAAACTTTTAGGAGATAATGTTTTTTTTTGTTTTTTTTTGTTTTTTTTGAGACAGGGTCTCGCTCTGTTGCCCAGGCTAGAATGAGTGCCGTGGCGTCAGCCTAGCTCACAGCAACCTCACACTCCTGGGCTCAAGGGATCCTCCTGTCTCAGCCTCCCGGGTAGCTGGGACTACAGGCATGTGCCACCATGCCCGGCTAATTTTTTCTATATATTTTTAGTTGTCCAATTAATTTCTTTCTAATTTTAGTAGAGACAGGGTCTTGCTCTTGCTCAGGCTGGTTTCGAACTCCTGAGCTCAAACAATCCGCCCGCCTTGGCCTCCCAGAGAGCTAGGATTACAGGCGTGAGCCACTGCGCCCAGCTGTAAAGATTTTTTATATGACACTAAAAGCATGAATCATGAAAGAAAAAATGGGTAAATTGGGATTTAGTTGAAAATTAAAATTTGTCCTCTTAAGAAAGTGAAAAGACCAGATACAAGCTGAGAGAGAACATTTGTAAATCATATATCTGAAAAAGGATTTGCATCAGGAATATATAAACAACTCATCAAGACAAACAGCCAGTAAAAAGGGGGCACAAAATTTGACATTTTACTAAAGAAGAAATATGAGTGACACATGAAAAGATGCTCAACATCTTTTTATCATTAGAAAAGTGCAAATTAAAACTGCAATTAGATAACCACTATATACTCGTTACAATGGCTATAATCAAAAAGTGTTGGTGGAATGTGGAGAAGCTGGAACCCTCATACATTATTGGCAGACATGTAAAATGGTATAGCTACTTTGCAAAAACATTTTGGCAGTTTCATAAAAAGGTAAATATATCCTTTCATCCTACAAGCTAGCAATTCCTGTCCTGGGTATCTACCCAAGAGAAATGAAAACGTATGTTCACACAAAGGTTTGTACATAAACGTTCATAGCTGTATTATTGATAATAGCCAATAAGTGGAAACTGTTTAAATGTCCATTGTCATTTTGTGAATGAATACATAAACTGTGGTATATCCATGTTAGAATACTGCTGAGCAATAAAAAGAAATAAACCACTGACACATGCAACAACAGAGATGAACTTCAAAAATATTATACTAAGTGAAAGAAGCCAGACCCAAAAGACTATATATTGTATGATTCCATTTATATGAAATTTCTAGAAAAGGCAAAACTGAAGAGGCAGAAAGCAGATCAGTAGTTGGCTGGAGGGTGAGAGCAGGGATTAACTGCACATGAGCACAAGGGAGCTTCTTGGTGCAATGAACATGTTCCAAAAACTGGATTGTGATGATGGTTATATAGCTCTATAAATTTAGTAATAATCAACAACTCGTACACTTAGAATGGGTGAATTATGAATGTAAATTATATGTAA